CAACTAGTTCTAGCTGTACTGTAATCAGACCCAACCACTTCATAGCTGAATAAGGTACATACACAAAAATGTACCAACCCAAGCAGACTATCAATAGATCTATAATATATATATATATCAACATCCCAGAATAACAAGGTTCTTTAATTTGAAAATCTCAGTTACACTCCTGTTCGCGATGTTAAGAGGTTTAAGTTTTCCCAGACAAAATGAGTCTCCCTCAAAGGATAAAATAAAATCAGCGTCATAATATTATCTCAGAAAAAAAAAAGAAGTTTTAACGTTTACATATTTTCACCTACTAAATTCCATTTCAGTTGCACTCGCGTCTGCAACATTAGGGCTTTAAGTTCTCACACGCAATGTCTCTTTCAAACGAAAAACAAAAGCATCGTCATTTTATCTCAGAAAAAAAAGGAATACAAGTTTAAACTTTTCCTGTATATATAGATATATCTAGTGTGATGTAAAGAAGGGAAAAGCAGAGAAAACTGCATCTCCCCTTGACGCTTAACAGCAACAGAGGATGAAAAAGTAAAGAAAAGAAGAAGTGTGATGTAAATCAACTTCAAGCGGTAGAAATTTTGAGTGAAAACCTTTTATTACAGTACAGGGGGTGGGTGGGTTGTTGTCAAGACAGTTCTTCGTCTGATTTATTAAGGACAGATGCGGCCGGCAGGCTGCAGTTGGAAGACCCCTGACAGACAGATACACACGGCAATAAGCAACCACAATCCACAGCCTCTGAAACTGGGAGGTCCAGAGAAAAAGGTCTGCAGACCGACGAAAAGACGGTAAAGAACCACAGGCTATTCAGTCACTGTTCTGTTTTTCTTTAATTAATGCAAGTGTTTTTACACCACTGTCAACACAATTTAGACAATTTAGGAGGCAGATGGGTTTTCGTCCCGGTCCGACAACAGGGCCAACCCGGGCTGAGAAGGACGCAACACCCCAGCAGAAAGACAGAGACACTCAATAGAAATTCTCCCCCGCTCGGGAATCTCGGGGTCTCCTGTGTGTCACAATGAAGCACTAAACCAACCTCCACATCACAGACGCGGGTAAACAGACCCTAATCTCGAGTTTTTCTTATCAGCCCCAAATGCTGGCAGCACCAACGCCGCCACACCATCAACAAGGTAAACAGCTGATGCCCTCAGATAGATGTCAAAACACCCTCAGATAGATGTCAAAATATCTTCAGATAGATGTCAAAACACCTTCAGATAGATGTCAAAATACCCTCAGATAGATGTCAAAACACCCTCAGATAGATGTCAAAACACCTTCAGATAGATGTCAAAACACCCTCAGATAGATGTCAAAATACAGTGCGGAAAGCTCAAAAGAACCCCCCCCCCCCCCAACAAACAAAGAATAATTTCAAACCATCTGTGGATAATTCTGTTAACAAGACAACAGCTCATAACACAACAGGACGTGAAGGCCAAGTGATCATCTGGAAAAGCTATATATATATATATATGAGTACAGTGCAGCCTCTCTAAAACAACATCGTCGAGACCAGAAAAAAAAAAAAAAGTCGTTATAGAGAGTTGTCGTCATAGAAAGGCAACCAAAAATTACTAATGATACATAAAGAAAAAAATTGGGACCTGGGCACCATGTCGATATAGAGAGTAGAGGATGTCGCTATATAGAGTAGAGGATGTCGCTATACAGAGTAGAGGATGTCGCTATACAGAGTAGAGGATGTCGATATACAGAGTAGAGGATGTCGCTATACAGAGTAGAGGATGTCGCTATATAGAGAGTAGATGATGTCGCTATAGAGAGAGTAGAGGATGTCGCTATATAGAGAGTAGAGGATGTCGCTATAGAGAGTAGAGGATGTCGCTATAGAGAGTAGAGGATGTCGCTATATAGAGTAGAGGATGTCGCTAGAGAGAGTAGAGGATGTCGCTATATAGAGTAGAGGATGTCGCTAGAGAGAGTAGAGGATGTCGCTAGAGAGAGTAGAGGATGTCGCTAGAGAGAGTAGAGGATGTCGCTATATAGAGTAGAGGATGTCGCTATACAGAGTAGAGGATGTCGCTAGAGAGTAGAGGATGTCGCTATATAGAGGCTGCACTGTATATTGTGTGGCATTCTGGTGAAATCAGGCGCTCCTCAAAACGATGACATCGAAGAAACCAACATTTTTCCACCCTTAGGGCTATTTTGTACAGATTTTTCATTCCATTTCGGCTCATCCCCCTGTACGTCTATTTAAAGACACACTAATCTGTGTGGACTTTACTCAAAAACTGTTGATCAAAGGCACAAAAAAAAAAAAAAAAAAAAAAGTTGAAAGTTTCCAAAGACACCCAAGCTTGACAGTCATCAAACTATGGCAGCCACTGTCTACCTCTGACGCCACCCCCCCCCCCCTCCCTTAACTGCAAATATCTCGTCTTCTTTTCAATCAAGATAGATGTATTTTTTTTCACCAAAAGCAAGTAAAAAAAAAAGATCCAGCTTTTACGATTATACATGGCCACAAATTGACGAGCGCTTGATTCCACGCATATTTACATTTACAATTTGACAATTTCTGAGTCTCTCTCGTCCACACGCAGGAGTATACTACATTAGCAGACAACTCAAACACATACTTGGGCGGGTCAAGGGCTGTCCGTACTGTCTCCGACAGCCTAGTGACCAATCAACAAAGAAGCTAGCTCATCACAAGCGCACTATAAATAAAGCAAGCAATTTGTATTTCGATCAAACACCCATTACATTCAACTGTCTGCGACAAAACAAGAGATTCCAATTTCACCAAACTGATGAAATAGATTCCTCTTTTTCAAAATGACAAAACAGCTTTTCTTTCATCAAACAGTGACAAGTCAGAGCAATGTCATTAAACAGTGACAAATCACGATTCTCATTTCATCAAACTACGACAAATCAAGATTCTCATTTCATCAAACTACGACAAATCAAGATTCTCATTTCATCAAACTACGACAAATCAAGATTCTCATTTCATCGCACCACACCTCACGGGGACTGCTGAAGAAATAAAAGACCAGGCATGACTCGTCTGAGACCACAGGAGGCCCTTGTGAGCGGTTGGAACAAACAAACAAATCCTCCAGACGATAATTTTTCTGATAAGACTCGAGACAAAAACAATAACGAGGAGCAAGACTGGTGAAACATTTGGCAGTACAGGGAAATGTCCTCAGTGCCACTCCACAACCGCCCAAATCAGTTTCCGGGGGTTTCCAGATAAAGCGGTTATTTTAATAATTTTGATTAAAGACATTAACAACCCCCCCCCCAACAAAAAAACAAGTTTTAGTTTTAATAAGAGCTTTACGGCACTTGCAACACAATAAGGCAGGTCATATAAGTGCAGGAGATAAGAGGTGTTACAAGAGAGTAACAAACATAGAAAGGAAGGAGGAAGAGATAAAAGACGATAGCTGTTTGCTACGAAAGAAGGAGCAAACCACACCAGAGCACCCGCCAACCACCCACGATCCTGATTCGGGGCCTTCTTTTCTTCTACAGTTCACACAAAATTTTCAAACCGACTTAGGCGTTTGTGGAATGACACCGAAGCTGTGGGGTTTTTTAAATTTTGTTTTCCATACAAAAGTAAACAAAAAAACAAAGAATGAACAAAGCAATTAGCAATACCACACTATTACAGCATCTCACTTAGACGCCAAGCAAAAATGTAAAGCATGTCTCAAAAAATGTTAAATTCAACACAGGAATCTGTGCCATTACTTAATTGTTTATTTTGATTTCCTGGGAAAAAAACCACAAACAGATCAACATGACAGCTGTCATTTAGTAGAGGAAGAAAGCAAAGTACTGTACACATAAAACATTTGGAGCGAAAGAAAAAAAAAAAGAAGAAGAACCTACTAGTGCCACCCTCCAACAATCCCTTAACATAACATCCCAGCAGCGAGACCGAGATACTCGATAAAAATTTTCTCCCCACTCAGGAATTGAACTCGGGCCTCGTGCATGCGAGAGCAAAGCGCCAAACCGCTACACCACCACAGAAGCCAGTCCATTCACCCCCCACCCCCTCCCAACCCTGACTTATTTCATTCACACACGTTGCAGTAAGTAGACACACCCCCCAGCAGGGGAAGCCAACCATGTGTTCCTGAGATGTCCCGCCAGCTATCGTGCTAGAACCCGTCTGCTGGGACATTTCAGTAATCCACTTTCAGCACTTTTTAAGGACCCCCCGGGCGAGTGTTGAGTTCCTGCGTGCTGTCGGCATCGCTGACCGTTTATGAAGCCACAGCGCCAGAAGAGAGAGAGAGGGGAAGCCAAGAACAAAGACCAGGGTCTGTCTGTTTGATAACTTACAGAGAAAACATCACGACACACAGGGTCTGTCTGTTTGATAACTTACAGAGAAAACATCACGACACACAGGGTCTGTCTGTTTGACAACTTTCAGAGAAAACATCATGACACACAGGATCTGAGCTCAGAGCCAAAACATAAAACATGATCTCACCCCCCCCCCCCTCTCCCCCACCAAAAGACAAAAATCAAGATTGAAATCAAAGTACCCAACTGTGGATATTAAAGAGAGTGGGGGGACAGAAGTGACAGAAGGCCACACTCCGGACACCCCCCCCCCCCCCGACACATACACTCAGCAATAAGCAATCACACCCTGGTTACAATAGGAAACTTACGAGTGTTAGCTACAAAAAATAAGCGATTATGTTAATTCGATTATTTTATAAAAATTACCTCATCATGCGGGACAAAAAAAGCCCCCCTCTTGTGCATGCAAAGAGCCCGTCCCTTATCCCTCAGTCCCTAAGCGAGTTAATAGGAAGAAACCTGAATACTGTTATCATAAAGCTGCCATGACACGAGCGTGAGCGACTGCCAACACAGTGAACAAACAAGCTACAACTGTCTCCCACTTTTTGTTTTAGTAGAGGTTTTTCGGCGCTCGCAACTGCGTAAGGTCATATGAGCGCCAGAAGATTAGAGGAGTGACAAGAGAGCAACAAAAAAAAAAAAAAGAAGAAGGGGAGATAAGGACGATAGATGTTTGATAGGAAAGAAAAAGCACTTTTTCACAGCCGTTAGAAAACAGGGCTTTAGAGAGCCACTAGTTAGGGCTATTGGACTAGAGACCCCCCCCAAAAAAGCCATGGGTTCAATTCCTAACAGTGCAGAGTCCAAAGCTACAAACTTGAGATATTAGTATTATAATACTTGAGATAATATTTCCTCGCGCTGTTTTATAGTGAATACACCCTCCAGATCTAAGAAACTTGATGCTATGGGAACTTTTCTTTACTATTTTGGGGAAATATAGTTTACAAATGAAATCGCGAAGTCTATTATGTTGAAGAAATATTTGTTACAAATGAAATCATGAAGTCTATTTATTATTTTGAAGAAATATTTGTTACAAAAGAAATTTTGGGGAAATTTTTGTTACAAATGAAATCGCGAAGTCTATTATGTTGAAGAAATATTTGTTACAAATGGTCAAGTCCATTTTCATAACAAGCTCTCTACGCAAATAAAACATGGCAACAGAAAAAAAAGTTTGCAAATCCTTTCAGCCTTAATGAAAAATCTGGACACAAAATGAACATAGCTGGGGGTCCTCCGAGGCCAAAAGGTCAGCGAATTCTGTTTAAAAAAACAAACACTTCATGACATGAGATGTGTCCATTAGACGTACCGTAAATCCCCATCCCTGGTAAGACTAACCTACATGATACATCAGTGTAATGCCCAAGGAACTGCTCAAACAACACAAGTCATTCACAACTTCCGTCATTTTCTGCCCTCCTCCCACACGTAACTTCTGCCCACGCCTGACCTCGCAGTACCCTCGCTCGCCGACTGTCAAGACTGTAGGCCACCACAAACGCAACCTCTCTCGTCTCACACACACAGCAACGTTACAACAGAAGTGAAACATAATAATATCTCTCCCAAGATACCGTCATTACATTATAAATAGCCATTCCAAAGTGGTACCCAAAGGGCAAACTCCGCGCTGAACGAACGAAAGACACTTGAGCCTTCTCCCACACACCAACAGCAATGACCGCTCACCACGATGTTGTAACGACGTTGTAACGATGTCATATCAAAAACATAGATATCGTCAGTGCATTTCGCTATCCGCGCAGCATGAAGCATTCGGATATTTCCAAGAAAATGTGAAAAAAAAAAAAAAGTTTTATTGGTCTAATACAGGTTTTCTGCTTCTTGATTTTTACTATTTACATTTAAATAGCCATAAATTATTGACGCAAATTAAAAGGTGAGATGTGAGAGCTGATCTTTAAGATTGTGCATGGGTCAAATTGTGTCCTAAGACCAGAGTTTTCAAATGTTAACCCTACGCAGTTAGCGAACTGCGATGACCATAATGGAACAACTCCAACAGCAGGAAAAAAAAAGAAAAACAAAAGAAAAAACAAAACATGCCTGACTATCAAGTGCTGACACACACACACGCACGCACACTTAGCTACGTCAGTTAGCTATTACCATCATCATCGGCATCGGACACCATACGAGTCGTCCCGTCAAACTGTATGCCAAGGACCCGTGCTCAAAAAGCAAAGCAAAATGCATTTGCGTAGTTGAAATTACAAAATTTGTATGGACAAAAAATCTGTACAATGTAGAGAGGAAGGAAGGAAGGAGGGAAGGAGGGAGGGACAGGGAGGGGAGTGGGGACGGGCCGTGTGGAGAAAAGAAAAAAACCCAAACAAAACAAAAAAACAAAAAACCCCGTAGATAACAAAAACAGTATGGAAAAAGATGCTGACTGATAGCAAAATAACAGCCAAAAGAGGAGATAGAAAAAAAACCACACAAAAAAAACAAACCCCCAAAAACAATCTCCCTGAAACTGCTCACAGAGCATAAACGAATACACACACACACACAGACAACCGCTGGTGGCACTAGTAGTAGCCGCGAGGGGGGAAGCCACCGCCGTGGGAATGTGGCGGCTGTTGTTGTTGTTGTTGATGTTGTTGCTGGGGGGCAGGCTGTCTCTGATTCTGATGGTGCTGTTGGTGGTGGTGCTGCTGCTGCTGCTGCTGCTGATGGTGGTGGGGCTGCTGTGGGGGTAGCGGCGCGAAGCCTGGGTAGCCGGTGTAGTCGGGCGGACACGCGCCTCCCTGCAGCTGATGAGACTGGGGGGGGGGGGGGGGGGACAGGGACAAGAGAGAGAGAGAGAGAGAGAGAGAGAGGAAAACCATTACAGTTACAGCGTAATTTACACACAGGGAAGTTCGACCAGTTTCAAAGTGGGAACACATGGAGTGACATCAAACGACTAGCCCAAAATAGGGAAAGGTGGAAAGTGTTTGTTCGTGGCCTATGTTTAGTTTTAGTAAGAGTTTTACGGCACTTGCAAAACAATTAGGCCATATAAGTGCAGAAGATTAGAAGTGTTACAAGAGAGTAGCATACACAAAAAAGAAAGAGGGGGAGATAAAGATGAGAGATGTTTGATAGGAAAGAAGGAGCAAACCACACCAGAGAAACCGCCAACCACCCACTACAGGAAAGTACGACCAGTTTCAAAGTGGGAAGACATGGAGTGACATCAAGCGACTAGCCCAGGATAGGGAAAGGTGGAAAGCGTTTGTTCGTGGCCTATACCCTGATCCAGGGTGAGAAAGGCAATGATGATGATGACGATGAGTTTCCCCATTTACCCCCTAGGGGGACTGTCCTGATAACATGATGATGTCCCGAATTCCTGGAACAAGGGAGACGATCCCTTAAAATTATCACCCATTTTAAAAAATCTATTATTGAAAAAAAAAGTCTTTTCAAAATAATTAGGCAAAAAAAAACCACAACCCCCCCCCCCCCCCCCCCAACTAAAATACGAAAATATACTTCTTCCAACAGGTCAGTTTCCGCTGAGCTCATTATTTATTTCTCCCATTATATCTGTGAATATTGGGTTTTTATTTGTCACCCATCAATTTCTTCAAATTAAAAAAAAATAATTGACGCCTCCACCCACTTAAAAATACGATATTAAGGTAGATTGAGATATAAATTCTCAACATATCTTTGTTTGGCCGAGATCACTTCAAGGTCCAAATTTTTGTGTATGTTCAAAGTTGCCTTGAATCTGTTGAAAATCTGTTTTCACCTCAATAAAATGAAACATAAAAATGATAAGCAGTGAAAATTATAAGCGCCTACTTTGAATAACAGTCCGTCCGTCAAAGAACGTTATCCAGTCTAGTCCTAAAAGTCCGCAATGTTTCTTCTGCATCAACAAATCCGAGAGAAACAATACCCAGTGGTGCTAATGATCAAACGTTAAAAAAGGAGGCAAATCACCGGTGCCACGACCAAACTCGGAGAGGAAGACAATGACAATGACAATGACAATGACAATGACAATGACAATCCATATTCATCTCGCAGGGAGAAATTTGTCTTGGTCGTTAACAATGGCAGTAGACGTTACAAAAGTTAGACTTAAAGGTGCACTCATGCAAACGCACAAGACAGGACATTAGGCCAAGTAAATACATGTCTCACGGGCTGGGACAACCCGCTCTGTAAAACATTCATTCTCTCTCGCTCTCTGTTTCATTTGTAGCACTGTGTGTTCAGTAACCTCACTGCAGTTGGTACGAATGAATTTCTATATCTGTCTTTCTTGCTTTTATGAAGAAGCCTGTAAGAAGCGAGCGTGGAAACAGCGTCAGTGCAAATGAAAGACAATCGAGAAGAAAGAAAGCCACCCAAAACGAAAACAAAGAAATAAAAATATTGTCACCCATGATTTCAACGCGGCACGCGAGAGCACTCGAAACGACACGATGATCGCTTCGCGAAATTAAGAATTCCCGAGGAAAATTAGCACAGCTGAATATTAGAAGAACATGACTCACCGGGTACCAGACGGGCGCACCTCCTGGGGGAGGATGGGGCATCTGCTGGGCGTGCGGAGGGATGTAATGTTGCGGCTGCGGCTGCTGCTGCTGCTCCGACCTCATGTGACCTTGACCTCCTCCTCCTCCGCGACTGTTGTTGTTCTGGCCCGAGCGACCGCTGTAGTGGTTCTGCTCCTGTAGAAACTCCTCGTAGGCTGCCTCCACCTCGTCCCCCATGCCTCCCTCGTCCGACATGTCCCTGAAATGTTCCAACATACTTTTCATTATACGAAGGGGCCACCATAACATTGCATGTTTTGTTTGCACGTATCAGTCTGTGGGACCCTTTCTTCTCACTGTACCTCGCCGGCCATCGACACCGAACAAGGGTTATGGGTAGAGTGCGGATGGTGGTTATGGGAAGGGTGCAGGCCGTGGTTATGGGGAGGGTGTGGGTGGTGGTGATTGTTAGCATTTTGAACTGTACTCTAACTGTACAATTTTTTCCTTTATGAGATGGTGGGGATGGCTGGAGGGGGCAAAGGTTATAAATTGAATATTCTTAAAGGTAGTAAACAGAGGTAAACTTTTTAATTATTTAATAGAAACCCAAACATAGAAACCATTTTGACTAATCTGACAAAACGTCTTTCAAAAACTTGACTGACAAATCTTAACAGATTTGAAAAAGCAGGATCACAGAATGATACAACTCTTCCCATCCCAATATGAGCGCACCCCCCCCTCCTCCCCACAACGAAACCACCTCCAGAGATGCCAACCACAAAAAACCAAAATGAGCATTGGGAAATATGAAAATGTGTATTTTCAGGGGAACATGTATATTCCCCATGACCTACCAACTAGTAATAGTAAAATGTTCAGGGTGTCCAGCAATATTTCCTGAAAAAAAATCACTAGCTCACCAGCTCGAAAAAGGGAGCACACATGTGTACCATATACGTGTATCCAGTCAACAACATGTCAGTGTTCAGTGCCGTACTGGGGTCTTGTTTGACATAAATATTTCAGTCTATTATACCGGTAATATTTTCTTCTCATTATTGTGTAAAAAATAAATCCTGCTATGAGAGTTCGGAAGGGCCTAGAACAAGAATTTCGACTATCAAGAACCAGTCTGGGTGTCATGATTCATATTATGAACTGACAGACTCAAAATTATTGCTCAAACTCAGAGAAAAGCGATAACTTGAATGGCTCAAGTAGACCCATGCACTGTGAGAGTTGTAACAACTGTAGTAG